GCTTTCATGAATATGGAGCTGCCCTTCTCACCCCCACCACCAGCTCCGGTAGCACCCCAGCCTCACCCCTATCTAGCCCCCTGCTGGGTGAGCCCTGGCTTGGGCAGTGCAGATGGAAGGGCCCCCCTCTGAGGGCCACGGCTCTGACAGCTTGTGAAGGGCCCGCGTGGGTCAGCCAGGCTCAGCCTTATCAGCCGCGAAGCTCTTCCCCCAGTCTGCAGAAACTGTGGTGTAGGCAATATGTGCACACATACACATGCACTCATGGACAGTGCATACCAAGCAGGGCCTTGAGATCCCCCAGCCAGCCACTCAGCCAAACCTCAGCAGCTGGAGAGGTTAAAACCCCCTCACGTATCAAAGAGGAAAAGCAGCAGGAGGAAGGAGGGAGGGATAGAGGAATGGGAGAAAAAAAGACGGAAAAAGTATATCTTCATGTTCGCTGGCGATGTCTGCCTCGCCGTCAATTCCCCACGCGGCTGTCATTGGGAAGGTGAGGAGAGGAAATAGTGGAACTCCGTACGGCCAGCAGAGAGAAGGCCGAGTTGAGAGGCAGTTTTCAGGGGAAAGGTGAAAATGATGTAGCTGCTAGTTTAGTAGTAGAATTTTACTTTTCCCCTGTGGAGTGTTTGTGTGCGCTTGTTTCATTGATTCAGACAGGTTCTGTCCATTTTTTTCATTCCTGCAAAACCAGGAGGATGGTGGATCATTGACTTGTGAAGTAATATTTGAAATACTTTGTGCGCAGTGCCTCAGTCGATATAAATATTTAGCTGATTAGTCTTGTATACATTTACCATGTTTCTGTCTTTCCAGTGACCTTAGGTAAATCCTTGATTTGGCCCTTTTCTTTTATGTGAACATACTCATGATTGTCTTATCTTCTCCTATGATTTAACTTATGATCATATTTACTATCAAATTCAGCATAATGCCACAGAGCTGTGTATCCAGCAAGCAGAAGATCACAGTAATAATCCGTCTGACCCTGAGAATATGCTCTCTGTCCTTGAAAACACACTAGGGGTGCTGTTGCACCGCTGATGTTGTGCAAGAAGCTTCTCATAACTGTTCTTGAAAAACTTTTAGATATTTACTTGCACAGCTAATAGAAATTGTCCCCTCCAGCAAGAAAGATCAGATCTTAATGCTCCTAATAACTCTTTCTTGTTTTGTTTTTTTTTTTAAGTGCAGGCACCTAAACTGTGCATTTCGCAGGCAACCATATATGCACCAAGAATCGAAAGTTTGGTCTTGTGATGCTAAAGTTCCATATTTTTAGCAATCATGTATCAATTACCAGTTATGTTAAAGTGATGGCAACACAGTTTTCTAGCCACCAAAATAAGGACATAATACACCACTTTTGTGATATGGTTTGGCCTCAAAGATGACATATCCCCATAATTTAAACCTCCACATAAACAGCAGTAGTGTACTTGTTTTCGGATTAAGTAGACGATGCACTGTTGGTTTTAACTCACAGCTGTTTTAATTTGCAGCTGGTATTTTTGCCTTGATGCAAAATACAGTAAAACAGGCAAAAAATAATTCAGATAAAGCGCGTCGAGCATGCAGAGCATGTGTTGGAAAGGGAATGCAGCAGCAAATTAATTCTTGCAAATTAGCTCTCCGCGTTTAGGCAAAGACCAAACAGATGCATTCACACATCCAAAGCCATTCGAACTCTCAATGTCATTGTGCTCGCTTGCATTCTTTGCGTGTATTTCATATTATCGCATCTATGTATGTATTTATGGGGCACAATGTAATCTGTAAGAGTAGCCTGCATCATCCCTGTATCATTTGAATGGGTCTGAATATGTTAATCCCCACCTCTGTAGATACTGAATTGACTGGAGCAGCTCTGCAGGCAATGTGAGCCCTGCGCGATCCTGTCGACAGCAAGGCTTTGATGCTGCCGTGCTGTAATGATAGTAATTCAAACAACATGATAATGGGGGGGATAAGCAGACAAATGATATCATACACCAAACAGGTCTTAGAAAGAGGAAAGAATGAGACAAATAGAGGGAGAGGTAGAGCGATGCAGAGAACGAAAGAGGGATGTTTGGAATTCATTGGCTGCACTGAGGTAATTTATATCCTCCCGTACTGAGACAGTAGCTTCAGTGCACGCATTTAGCCGTGGCAATCTTCAGGGCAGATGACATGTTCCGTGTCTTTTTATTTATTAATTTTACACTGTGTCTCATTGTAGGAAACATGACTTCTCTCTGTAACCAGCGGCAATAGAAGGGAGAGAGCAGAGCGGAGAGCAGAGGGAGACAAACGACTCTATCATTCTCTCTGTCTCTCTAGGTCATGCTTCTCCACCTAGCTCATGCTCATTTCTTTGTTTAAAGTTTGGAGCATGTGCCAGGCATGCCCTGCTAATGCCTCTGTGTGGAAGATTCCATTATATTTCTATTTTGGCATGGATGAAAGGATTTGGAGGGAACCATGATGTCTTTATAAACAGTTATAGTTCATTTGTTTAGAGATGCCAGAAGGCTTTCATTTTTACAGTATCTCATCTACATCTTTTCCCTTGACTGAGCACGAGAATTCCCTCTTCGGTATTTGTATAGTGTAGCGCTGGATGTGCTCAGTGTCAATAAAGAGACCGTCAAATGTGAACAGTCGAGCTTATTTGTCTAGACATGGGAGAGTTTCATTGAGCTGGGAATGGCCAGTTGTTACACAGTCAGACAGTTAAAATGAGGAGTTTCACACATACATGCACAGCACTTTGCCCTAGCGATTCACTTATATTGATAGAACAGGGACGCGCGCGCGCGCACGCACACGCAGTACCCTCTCGACTCCGCTGTTCTGACTGAACTCGTCTTTGTTTGTGTGGGAAGCTGCATTTACATAAGAAGCTTATGTCAGCCGCCACATAGTTTCCCCCCGTATTCCAATGAAAAACAAAAAGGACAAAAGCTATTGTCTTGTTAAGTAATGATTTTTGGATTTCTCCAAACTAGTTTGCACTGTTCTGGATTTGCTGGGGGG